TACGAAGACGAGGAGAGTGGAAACGTGCTGTCAAAAATAGCGACCCCGTACAGATACGGGAACAGCTACAGAAGAAGAAGAATGAAAGTGTTCCAAAACGCGACATTAATTTCTTGACGACGTAATATTCGGATTTGATGCGGAAGTTGTTTAGCTATTCATTGTTAGCCTTTATTTATTTACTACCTAATGCTTAGAATATAACCTGCACACCTGGAAAAAGCAATGTTTATGAAAAACAATCCTTATTTCAAGTAGCATTTATATCTTAAATGCAGGCTAGATTTATTTGTATTTACTGAAGAATTTGCTTGAATAAAAATTTCACGCAATGCGACGGATAAACGAGTACCACAAAAATTATTATTTATATAAAAAGTTGTATTTGGATATTTTAGGGCAACTAATAGTAAAACACAAACTTGAGGAACTGTAGATTTTAATCATTGCAATAATAAAACGTACACTTAATTTGTTACACTTGACTTTGTCATATAGAAAAAAAAACACTGCATAGTATGATGCTTCACGATTTTACAGTTTATGATAAGGTCCACCAAAAAACTGACGTAGGAAAAAAAACAACAAGAACAAACAAAAGAGACACATCGAGCTGAAACACACACCAGCAATATGCCAATGAATGTTATCTGTGACTTGGTATTCAAGCTACGTAGAAACGTATTTACATACGGTTAGTTTCAGGTGTCAGTGGAAAAGTCGTTTCTGACTCATTGAAAATTAATGTTATCTGTGACTTGGTATTCAAGTTACGTAGAAACGTATCTACATACGGTTAGTTTCAGGTGTCAGTGGAAAAGTCGTTTCTGACTCATTGAAAATGAATGTTATCTGTGACTTGGTATTCAAGTTACGTAGAAACGTATCTACATACGGTTAGTTTCAGGTGTCAGTGGAAAAGTCGTTTCTGACTCATTGAAAAGGGTCTGCAAACTCGTTTATTTATTCTTTTATTAACATGCAGATTAACATGGGAATTGACTCATTTATGAACTTTTATATTTTGCAGGACTATCATTTTAAAATATCGACCGCATTGTAAAATTTATGAAAGTTCCACTTTATATTATTTGAAATTTGTGAGCATTTTATTCAGTACATTGAAATTAACGTGCTAATTAGAAGATATATCTAAAACCATATGCGTGGTGTTTTCTAATCTGATTTACCTGATATAACCAGAAGTGAAATAAATTATACCGCTCACTCCAAGACTTTTAATATGAAATTTCTCGAGATACTATATATGGTAAAACACAGGAAACTCCATATGAATAGATTAATTACTGAACCACACATTAGCGTGAAAAGTAGTTAACAATCATGATCGCTCATTATCAAGGTGTATATAATGGAATTACGTTTTACTGGGGTAAGTGGTAATAACTAGTAATTCATTACAAGCTCGGACTAGCAGATAAAAATGGTTTATTAATAAAACGAAACGAAAAATTATTGCATTTTTTTTCAGAAAAAGGATAATACAGGCTAATTTAGATTTGAGCCATAGTTATTCTTTCTGGTCTAAAATGAACTGATACTGATTTAAAGTGGGTATATTCATCAATCACGGTTTGTACTCTCAAGCAAAAAGGATATTAAAACCAAATTTTTGTTGATCTTATACGCATTAAATGTCGTTATAACTTAAATAAATTGTATGCCTTACTTTAGCTCTTCGTTTCGAGGCTTTGTGGTGTTTTAAAAAACTGAATACTCACCATTGGGTCAGTTTCGTTACATTTCTCTGTGAATTCTAGTCCGGCGAGTTTCCATGTTCCTCTTTTGTTAATGATTACTGACTGTGGGCAGACATTCCGATGAATCAGCTTACAGGAATAGTGAAGAAATGCTAGCCCTTCAGTGAGCTGTGTAGATTACAAAAATGTCTGAGTAAATAAATCATTAAGTCTATTTATGGAAGAAAGTTTTACTCTTACATAGAATCAAACTCGGATCATATTATAATCGTTTTCCTAAATAATTTAGTATTGTTTTAAAATTACCCTCGCATGCCTTGGTAAGACTACTTCGTTGAAGATAAAAAATAAAAAACAATAATAAAAACGAAGACCACTCTTTGTTTGTTGTTCTATACTCACCTTAAATAAGGTGTTCCTAAAGTAAACATTAACTGGAGCGGGCGTGGTCAATCGATGTCTCGAGAGCAGCATGATGTTATCATCAGTCACGTCGTTAGGCTTATTTGAGTCAAAAACATTTTTTTACTGCGTAATTCCAAACTAATTTCTAAACACAGGCGAATGACACATACCTCAAACTATTTTCCACTTAGCGTACATACATTAGTTATTCAAAACCAGTTAAGCTAGTAAGTTTATTGTGATAATAATTAGCTTACCTATTTCTATTTATATATTAAATAAATGTCACATGCCAAAGTGATAAGTCCCACGCGACTGTTGAAAGAGTTGAGCAAGGGTAGTTAAAGATAAAATATCAGCAAGAATGCCATTGCTTACTCCCTCTTTGAACAGTGTGTCACGATCTTTGTTGGATACAATATATTATTTTGGATCTTGAGCTTTTGCAAGAAGTAAAGCACATTTGGCCTAAATGTAAAAAGAAAACGAACAAAATCACATGCTTGAGACTCTTTTAAAACTAATACCTCTCGCATCATGCAAGTATTTCAATTTGTATATTTAAAATTTCAATTACAGTTACTGATCTAAATTATGATATCATATCAAATATGTCTGTTATGTTCGTTAATGTTATTCTAACACGTACATCTACATCTATTACAATATCATACTCTTTTTTTCTCTTCAACATAGCGAACGGGAGATGCTTAAATGTTAATTTCCCTGCAGGGTTTTACGTTTGTAAAGCACAAGAAAATATGTTAGGGGTAAACCAAAGTAAAATATATACCATTCTTTGTGTAGTAAACAAAAATGAAGTAATAAATATAGTGGTGGAGAAACTCCTTACTACAGTCGTATTTGTTCAGTAAAATAGAATCCAATATTAATTCAGCTTGTAGCTTTTTATACATGCATATGTCCAGCTCACTTCCCCCCCCCCACAGATTTAAAGCTAGCAGGACCAAACTTGGCATGCGAACTTACAATGCCCTTATTTATATGGCGTGGGCCTCTTACCAGGATAGCTAAAACGCCCTCGATAGGTCACTCAAGCATGATGGTGTCTAAGGGTAGGTCTTCAGCGTCATTGAATCCGAAAATGGCATGGGATATTGATCCCCACCCTTAAAAGGGATCCCACTCACAAGCCAGCGTAACGAAACATAATACACGTGCTCATGAACAATGGGTTATTTTCAGGTAGCTAGATAAGTAAATGGGGATAATGGCTGATGCTAGAACACCGCCGCCTCTCACAAGAAGAACCGTCGACGAGTCACGCTGGTCATTCGGCCGGAACCACGATATACAAACCACCCGCTCCTTCCTCCGACGCCTTTCTTCCAGTAACGATGAAAATATACCCAACACCGGCTAAGACCAAGAGCCTTCCTTACATCTTAAGCCCTGTTCAGATCATTCCACGACTCTCCTTCCTTCTCATGTTACTAAGTTTCTAAAAATCTCTGACACTGCTAATTCTCTTAAGACAGACACTGGTCAGGTTGACTTTTCGGCGCTTGATCAGTGAAAGTGGGTTTTCTCGAGGCATTCTCGTTTTCTCCCCACATCCAGTTCTAGCCATTGGATTTATAGATCCCCCTGTAGGACCATAAGTCGTTTGTTTCGAAAAGAACTTCAGCCCTTCAACTGTATCAAGGGCGTGGCGAAGAGAAGTTTAAGGGTGGCTTCTGAGCATCCCCAATAATCCTCTGAGGAGAACCTCCGGAAGATTTCATGCCAAAAGAACTGCCACGATGATGACGATGGAAGATTCTGGAAACCAAGCAAGGGACGTAAAGAAAGTCAACAAATTTCTGACCACCTCTGCGTTATTAAACTTAAATACCTACCAGGATTGGATTGGATTGGAAGAATTTGATCGGTACATTAGGTCTTTTAACCCCGTCCCCCAGTGGCACAGCGGTATGTCTGCGGACTTACAACGCTAGAATCCGGGTTTCGATACACGTGGTGGGCAGAGTACAGATAGCCCATTGTTTAGCTTTGTACTTAATTACAAACAAACTTTTAACCCCCTAGCGGAGCTCGGATATTCTATGCTAATTAAGTAAGAAAGGAATAATAGAAGTTAGATGTATTTATCAAAAAGATCACAAAGATACAGAATGATCATAAACAAATAACAATTTCAGGTGCTAATTTATTATTGGTACATGATCTATGAGCTATTACTCCGCATCCTTGTTAGTTAACCGGTAAATTTAAAAATGTGCTCTAATAAGACTTAAAAAACAAACAAAAACTATTATATTCATTTTATTCTGCTTAATTTATTCACTTAACATTACTGTATACAGTATTGAATTGCGACCAGGAAAATTTTAGAACTAGTTGGTTCTTCGAAAGTTTGATATACGTTTTACGCTTCCACATTTAAAGAATTTCATGGAGATTGGGTGCTGAATTTTATTTTACTTTCGGAATCTGAAAGACGCTTTGATTTTCTCCTATCACCTTGGTAAAGTATAACTACTACTAACGTATTCATGCAGTTCGAGAATTTTTTTTTTACGTGAGCTATATGAAAATGTTATCCAAATATTTGACTTAGAGACGTTTTCCACGTAACTCAACGTGATTATTTTTTCTTGCAGAGACTGACACTGATTTGTCCAGAAGAACCCGTCCAAAGATATTGCTTTACAAATCTTCTGAAGTTCCATTTGATAAAGTGTTTTAATATAAACGTAATATTCAAGTAAATATTTTAGAATAAAAAACAAGAAAGCAATATAATGTAAAATAAACCCAAAGGAATGAAGAATCATTCAAAATTCATTAACGATATAACGAAAGCAGCGTATTCAAATATTTCATTTAACATTATCGTAAAATCTTGATAGTATTGATTTTCTTGGTCACTATTATTAGTGGACTTAAGATAATGATGCCCTTCCCTAAAAAATATTAATACATTAAAAAACTACTAGAATATCAACTAATCAAAGCAGTTATTTGAATAATACCTTGACAACTGTACAGGAAGTTTGTTATTTGAAAAATTACTGGAATGCTTGTATATATAAAACGCAATGATTTGTAATCATAATGAAATATCTTAACGCATATTACATGTTTCAAGAGAGCATTGATCTGTCTTCTTCAGGTATGATACAAATAATCAATCATTAAATCCAATCGTGGTAGGTATTTAGGTTTAATAACCCAGAGGTGGTCAGAAAGAGGTCAATGTACAGAAAAAATGTCTCTAAGAACTATGGGTAACAGGATATTACAACGGGGTGTTATCATGTTACGACAACAAATTGTAACAAAGTGTAACGAATTTGTTATGTATTTATTTTAATATGGACCTTGTTTGATTAAGTTTATATTTAAAAACATGCCTAGCTTATAGTGTTAGAAATGTATCATGAAACTCCCGCCTATTTTCCAAAGTTGTATAAGATTCTCGAGAGTAAGAATCAACAATATATATATCTATATACGTAAACGTTTAAATATAGCTCAGTATTGTTATGTAATCTGTAGTTTCTAGAAAACCTTCCCACGCCTATAAATACAACCAACGCGACGCGCCAAAGAGAGTGTCTATTAGTAGTTCGCTATAAT